ACTTTATTTCCGCGGGAGTATAGAAGCTGGAGTACAGAGGACAGGTGTGGCAGAGACGCAAAGGGGGAACCGAGGCATTTTACCATGCGAGGGCGAGCGGTCTGTGTCGACTGCTCAGAAATATCTATGGACAAACTTCGTTTTGAAACATTTCAAAATGGAAAACCTATAATAATCTGAATGAACACAAATTCAGATACATTTAGTCACATGATAGTTTCCTGGTGAAGGGACAAGGGGTACCTTGTATACGATTGTATGTGAGAAGAGTGTTTATGGGGTTGTGATAATAGAACATGTCGCTAGAAAAACGTGAACATACTGATAATTAGAGTATAGACAATAACAATGATTACCCACGCAGTCTCACAGACAGTGCAATTTCTGATGAACATTTTGAGTTATGAGTTTACATATAGTTAATAAAGTAATCGGAATTGCTTGCTCTGGAGGCAGTTCGTCAGTGTCATCTCGTTCGGGGCGCAGGACAAGTAGGCGATAAACAGAGTACAGTGCACTGTGGGAGGCCTAGGGCGAGGAAGAGGTGAGGGGTCATTAAACAGACAAACAAAAATAAAGAGGAGGGAGAGGGAGAGGGAGAGGGAGAGGGAGAGGGAGAGGGAGAGGGAGAGGGAGAGGGAGAGGGAGAGGGAGAGGGAGAGGGAGAGGGAGAGGGAGAGGAGGAGAAAGGAGGAAGTAGAGTAAAAAAGAAGAGTAGAAAGAAGAGTAGAAAGAAGAGGGGGGAAGAATAGGAAGAAAAAGAAGTGGAAGGAAACAGGAGGAGGAAAAGCAGGAAGCAGGAGTCGGGGGCGAACCATCCTAAAGATAATGACGTTGAGTAAGTAGGAAATAAAAGATGAATATGAAAGAGGGCGAAAATAGAAGGGGAGAGAAAGAGGAGGATAAAGAATCAAAACAGGACGACGCCCCCCCCCCCTCCTCCACTGCCTGTCATGCCCCCCCCCCCTCCTCTTCCACTGCCTGTCATGCTCCCCCTCCTCTTCCACTGCCTGTCATGCCCACCCCTCCTCTTCCACTGCCTGTCATGCCACATCACCCACAATTAATAATTCTCCTTCAGTAAAAGATATCGGCCTTATCAGTTCATAAACAGGCTATGGCTTCTCCTCCCTATCCCTCCCCAAGCCATATCCCAAACCCCCTTTCCTCCCTCCTCTCTCTTCCCCTTTCCTCCCTCCTCCCTAGTCTTCTCCCCCCCCCCGCCCCCAACCTAGTCTTCTCCCCCCCCCCCCCGCCCCCAACCTAGTCTTCTCCCCCCCCCCCCCGCCCCCAACCTAGTCTTCTCCCCCCCCCCCCGCCCCCAACCTAGTCTTCTCCCCCCCCCCGCCCCCAACCTAGTCTTCTAGAAGTTTTGTGATAACTTCAGGTCCTACAGACAACTGATTTTCATTTGATTGCTAGTATGTACCAAAGCATCCTTTGCACCACTTGTGGGAATAATCTACTGGAGCATGCTCAGTGACGTTTTTTACCAAACATAATTTTTCAAACAATTAATAAAACTTTGAAGAAATTTGCTATATAATATGATAAAAGCAAATATTTGTGATTTCAAGCTAAATTCCAATGATACATGTACTCTGCAAGGATGGGTAGTGTTATAGAAACCATTACACAGAAGGTTGCGAATTCGAAAAATGGTCAGATTTTCCAACCCAATTTGAGTAGGAAGGAGTTAAGACCCCAAGCTACCTTTTGGTCTACTACATGATTGTTCTATGTAGATTTTGGAAACATAATAAAAAAGTTTGTAAAAGGTATGCCTCTTGGGGAAAAAAATCAATTTTTGACCACCACCAAAATATTTTGCCAGAAACCTACATCAGTTTATTGTAAGGTAGCATTGTCCTGGTGCTAGATATGACTTTCTAAGTGTTATTTTTGAATTCTACATGCCTGAAAATACTTTAGTGCTTGTTTTCCTCCATGTATCTCTTTCCAGTGAGGTTTAAAATAACTTTAACTTATGCATCAAAGATGTCATCGCTAGCCCTAAGCTTTTTGGGGTGTATTTTCAAAAAATGAAATGGTCCATAAAATCCAAACTAGATGGAATTTCTCAAAATTTTTTGACATTCTTCTCTAACTCCTAGATCTTTATCAGTAAACCAAATTTGAGGCTATTCTGAGGGGTGGGGTTAAAATTTTCTAAAATTTCTGATGATTTGGTATGGAATGACCCGCCCCCAACCTAGTCTTCTCCCCCCCCCCGCCCCCAACCTAGTCTTCTCCCCCCCCCGCCCCCAACCTAGTCTTCTCCCCCCCCCGCCCCCAACCTAGTCTTCTCCCCCCCCGCCCCCAACCTAGTCTTCTTCGATGGGTGGGTGGGTGGGGGGGGGGGGGTTGGGCTCGAGCCGAATCTGATTGAGAGCAACAGACAGACAGACACACAGCAACAGACAGACAGACACACAGCAACAGACAGACAGACACACAGCAACAGACAGACAGACACACAGCAACAGACAGACAGACACACAGCAACAGACAGACAGACACACAGCAACAGACAGACAGACACACAGCAACAGACAGACAGACACACAGCAACAGACAGACAGACACACAGCAACAGACAGACAGACACACAGCAACAAACAGACACACAGCAACAAACAGACAGACACACAGCAACAGAGAGCACCAGACTGACAGACATAGAACAACAGACTGACGGAGAGCAACAGACACACAGACAGACAGACTGAAAATGCGAACAAGCGAGAGGCAAAGACCAAAGTAGCCCCCCCCCCCTCAACACACACAGCTGTTCCTCCGAGAAGGGTCGAATCACGCACCCTCGTTTACAAGGCTTTCCTTTAAGACAGCGAGTAAAGAAAAAAATAAGAAAAAAAAAAAGAAAAAAAAAGGAAAAAGAAGACAATCGTTTCTCGGAAGCTTCAGGCTATGAAAGACAGCGTTGCTAACGTCTAACACTAGCTATTTAATATTAATCCAAGTCTTCTAACACATGTAAACACATATCAACTTACACATATTAATAAAACACGAGTGAATATGCTCAAAAACATTCGTCTTCTTGAAAATCAACACGTTTAACTTGTACGGCTATTAAGAGCTACATGATGCAACTCCCGACAGCATTGCATCACTCGTGCAACCAATGCAAATTGTATTTTTGCAGGAAAACAGATGGACGTTAACACATTCCTGAGTAAAAAAAACGCGATATTATTATAATAGTATTTATCCGTGATAGGATTTTTTTTCTTACAAATGTACATGCAAAATACACACACACACACACACACTAAAATATATAAATACATACATAAATACATTCATACACACACACGCACGCACGCGCGCGCACACAAAATACAAAACACAAAACACACACACCACAAAGGAAAAAGTGACAAATACCATTACAAATGCCATTATACCGATGTCCACTGGCATTCTATTGTGCCAACCCCAGTCATGCCAAGAGAAATGACAGTCATGGCGACGTGCCAGCCTCTTGTCAATGTCACTGCGACCCCCACTATGCCCAGGTATATTTATCTCTTTCCTGACTTTGTAATTATGTCAGAAATAAAGAGCAACATAATTCAAAAATAGACGTGGAGCTTTGCTAATGAAGGATAGTGGTGGTGGGTACAGTGACAGCTGTGGGTTATTATAGTGAGGATTATGGTGGTGAGTATAATGGTGGTTATGGTTGTGGTGGTCGTTATGACTGTGATGGTTAGCTTAATGATGGTTGTGGTGGTTGGTAATACCAGTTGCTAGTTGCGGTGGATGCTAAACGTGGTTGTAGTGGTGGTTGCTAATGCTAGTTGTGACGGTTATGGCTTTAACAACATTACCTGTTATCTTGGCACTGGTAATGGTTATAACTGAAGTAATGGTAATGGCGTTAGTCCTGATAATGGTAACAAGGATAGCAATATGAGCAGCAACAGCAAAACAGCGACTCTGTGCATACCACATCTACCACCCTAACTTGTATCCCCAGACCCACACAGTTCACCGTACTCCCGAGAGTTGTGTGTTGTTATTCCGGCTTGCTTCTCACGGTCATGTGTCCGGTTTTGACATTTAATAATTAATCCAGCCATTTTACGTCTTTAAACGTTTCTATACTGATAATGCAACAACACTACTATTTTTACATCATCTGATTTTTCCCTGTCTATAATCCAGTGTTTGCCCGTTAATTTTCTTCTGAGAAGCAACTTTGAAATAAAACTTTTCACAGTAATTTATATTATTTGGGGGGAGGGGGTATTCGAAAATATTTCGCACTGGAATAGGTGCTACAACAAAACATTTTCCTTTACTTTTGTTGCTTCCCTGCCACAAAGACTTAGAATTCAATTACATATTACATCATATTGTTGCTTTGTGAAGTAATTCGCATTCATTTATAAAGTCTTAAGGTCACTCCACATGTACCTACGATCCAACTGGCAAGATAACCGAAAAATCAACACAATCTGTTAACTGCCATCATTTATTAGGATGGGAACCATCACTAGTATTCCCACTTCACGATTTCATTTCATGATTAGCGTTTTGTTTGCGTTTAATAAATTTCAGGCCGAGATCAACGCAATAGTGAACACGTACTGGTCCGCACGTGCCAGCACTCGCGTCGTTTGACTTATGATAGGAAAGACTTTCCTCCTATTTTAATTGATACATTTAATATATCGAATTTTTAAATCTAATAAACTGACATGTTTTACTGTGCTATTTGTTTATAATTTGTAAATTTCTGTATACATTTGCATACGTACGTACATAGACATACAGACATATTTTATATTATATATATATATATATATATATATATATATATATATATATATATATATATAATTTTTATATACATAATCTTCCAAATAGTTTACATCAACGACCGTTTCTGCCGGAAAATATGGCCCAGATATTCATCTAAATTTCCAAAACAAGAGACTGACTCAAGAAACGAAAAATCCTCGATCACTTACTCTTATGCTTGCTTGTGCCATTGAAGAGAGCACGCAATAGGGAAGACATGTTTCCCTCGCTGCTGAACCACTATTGTTTCAAATGGTGATACGCAAATGGGCTCGCCACACGCACACAGGCACACAACCTCACTCGTACAAAGGTGACTGCGCTCTGCCA